AAGCAGTCCTTGCATGGGTTTGTGTTCTTTGTTGATGCTGTTTTCACATTTTTTTTCGTCCTTTGTAACTCCTGCTCCCTCTCTTTTTCTCTGGGGAGAGACTCTTTGGTACAAGAGATTAGAGTGGGTGCTGCCTAGCAACTGAATAAAAATGGCAGCTACAAAAGGGGCGCTCTCACTCTCCAACGTCTGACCTACATAATCCCAAGCCTCTGATCGTGCAACATAACAACATGATGAAAGGCCTGCTGTGATTTAACCCTCAAACAAATACTTGCCATCGCTGACCCCCTAGCTCAAAGAGCGATCTCGCATGCTGCAGAACACCAAAGGGTGACTTCTGAAATCTTGACGGTGCCTAATTAGAAAGGAAGAAGAGGCCGTGAACGCTATTGGAAATGAGATGAATGTATTTGAGGAGATGGCAGCAGAGTGGCAAAGGAGATTAACAGTGATCACAGCAATGCTGTTGGCTTCAGAGAGCGAGAGCGAGCGGTGGAACCTCCCTCTGTTCCCTGATTCATCTCTCCTTCAGCCACAGGCAGACGGAGCACAGGAATGAGTACAGAGGGATGAGAAAGCTTTACTTCTCTGTCTTCTGCTTATTGATCAAAGGACGGGAAAAAACAACAAAAAAAAAGAGATACAGTAAAAAGCTGGAAACTTCTTCTCAAAACTTTCACTTTCTGCACAGTGCTCCCAATATAATCCGCCTGCTCTTTACTCCACCTTCTTTTCATCCCATTTGACCTTTTCTACACCTTTGACATGTTCAATATCACAACACTTAATATGCTGAAAATAACTTACAAAAAGCACAGTCATTCTTCACAAGGAAATGATCTGGATATCAAAGACAAAACTAGAATGTCAGTCAAGGGGTGTCAAGGTGACTGAAAAGGTCACTTTCACTTTTTTTGAACTTTTAAAGCCTTTCGTGTCAGTGAGTAAAAATACACACTATTTGTTCTTTTGTCACCTTGAAAACTCTGTTCCATCCCTATTGTACAGACGCTGTCACTGTATCCCTATTTAGTATTAGCACACAGACACACACACATATATAGACAAAAGAATAAAAGAGTAAGATAATAATAAGTTGCCATATATATAGGATGCCACCTGAAATGTGTACCACTGCTTGAAAGAATATTTTATGTCTTGAAACTAGTGTGGGGGGAATCTGTAAGTGTTTTGTTCATTGAAGTTAAAATCTGGATTTGAGCCCTTTTGGCTGATGTTTAATTTATAGTTCACTCTTATTAAAATTCAGTCCTTCGTCTTCACATCTTATACCCAAAGATGAAGTGATGAAGTGTGGAAATTGAAACATTTAGTACAGTCACAGCTTCTTCAGTCTGAGATGTAATATTTTACTCTTATAAAGTGACCAAAGCTTCTAGTTGGGTGAAGATGCACGTCTGTCCAATCCAGATGAACTTGAATCAAGGTTCATTTCTTGAATCTACTGCAGCAATCTGCCTTATTTACTGACTAACTTTTCAAATAAGACGATGAAAAAGGAGAAGTTGTACTGAGAGGTAATATGAGATGGATAGCCGCGTATAAAATGTTGATAAATGTGTTGCTGCTGATTAAAAAACATGTGATTTGGAATGGTAAAAGCACCTTAAGCATTTCCTCTGCACCACTGACATTCCAAGACACTGAACAACCCACTGTACTCCAACATGGACTTTTAATCTCTCAGCCTGTCGAACTTTCATATCACAGACTTGATGAATGCTGTAGAAAAATTCCAGCTGCTGTATCTCTTCAACCACTTGACACTGTATCCTCATTTCAACAAGAAGTCACTGTAAAGCCAAACTTTCCAAACTGTGTCTTCAACTCTGCAGCAGGTTCTTCTCAGAGGTCACCGCATAAATGATAATGTCTGCAATAATGACATGAGTCAGCATGCATGCGTAATTGTGTGTGTGTGTGTGTGTGTGTGAGATTTTGTGCGTGTTTGTGTCTAACAGTCGAGATGGCAGCGGTGTACTGGGCGTCTGATTGGAGTCCGGTTGCGAGGAGTGGTGAGCTGTGTGAACTCTGGTGCTCTCTGACTGCCGCATTTTCATGGAAAGCATCTCTTTGGGGGCCTGCAGGTTTTCAATACGCTCATTTACACATCAAAACAGCGCAGGAAAGGGATAGTGCTCAAGGGGGGTGAGGGACTGCGGGAGGAGGGAGGGCAGGGTAATGAAGGATGCTTTATTTTCTCTTTTTTACCCTCAGGGGTGGGCAGGGGTTTAAGTCTACGAGGGAGGCGCATTGATGCCATAATGATCGCCTTTAATCAGACCCATGACCAGATGGAGGGATTTCTCCTCAGCAGACAAAAACATGGTGTCAGCAGCTAAAGTGGGATAACTGCTGAGGTGTTTCCACGCCTGTTTAATCAAAAACAAATTGTACAAATCCTGGGTAAATAGACCTGTTCTGTGTCGCTTTAGAATCAATAAATACAGTTAGGCTTGCAGCGAATACAATGAAATGTTCCTATAAGGAAAAGTGTTGCCTTTTCTGGGAGTAGTCTCACTTTTGGCCCAGACAAACTTGCTGCACAGTGCGACTGACCCTCACACTATTTAACCTCCTGAGCCAGAAGAGAAGAAAAAAAACGCGGAGGCTCTGCCAAACTAAATCTTTTCGAGTGAGACCAAGCTTACTTGCTCCTGAAATTGGGCATTACCGGAGATGGGGTGGGGTCTTCGTCAAAACAAGCTCAGTGTTGATTGGCTGGCACTGCTCCAGCACTGCAGACCTCAGGTGTGTGTGTGTGTGTGTGTGTGTGTGTGTGTGTGTGTGTGTGTGTGTGTGTGTGTGTGTGAAGGGAAGGTGTTCCCGGCAGCCACATCTCTGGCGCCAAAAAGAACCACAGCTCAAACAAACTCTTGCTTTTGGAATGAACCTTTTCTTTCTTGCCTCTATCTGAAGCTCTGAGCTGTGATTCCTTTCCTCTGCGAAAGGGAGAGAAGCTAAAAATAGATGTCAGTGACCTGGAAATGTAGCGATAGAATTCATATTTGTGGAAAAAGAAACATAGCAAAGACATCCTGTTGCCGGTTATTACGAGTCATTTCTGTTGACCCTTGTGATTTTTTAGAATCTATCTTCGTCACATTCGGCAACACGTGGAAAAATTAGAATAAAAGAGGCACAGCCGGGGTAAGAAAATTAAAAAAAGAAATGCTGAGGAGGAAAAATAAAAAGTTTAAATAAAACACTGCTGCAGAAGACAAACTTGCCCTCTGATGCTGCACCCGTGTGCTTTAACCCTCTGCAGCTTCCTATCTAATCAGTGTGGCTCAGCGCAGGTGGGACAAGCTGGTTTGTGTCTCACGCAGCAAGTGTTCGGCCTCTCTGGGTCGTGTCACTGGAGTGTAAACTGGGGAGGAAGCACGCGCCCCCGTTCAGGCGCCCATGAACTGGAACATGTGGCTGAAACACCACTAGTCGAGTCTCTTGGCTGCGAGCGTGCTCCAAGCAAAACACCCCCTTTTTTTTAATAGTTAAATGTGATCCACACAGTGTCAGAGTCCAGGACTCTGTGCGCTCGCCTGCCAAATCGTGGACAACGTCTACAATGGCTGAGTAATGAAAACAGAAAAAAAGGGGAGGACGCTGGTAGTTAACCCACATCTTGTTCTGAAGAAGGAGGGAATAAGTAATTTGAGTTAACTCAGGCGTTGCACCGATCCACACAACACTGCACCGGGTGGAAATGTGGTTAATTTACTACAGAGACATAATACGTCTTTGATTCGAAACGGTGTGTAAGTGTGTGTGTCTGTGTGTGTGTGTTGTAAAGTGTGCACGGAACAAGCTTCAGTACATGAATCTCGCTTTAACTCCGCTGGAATGCAAATGGAGGAAAAATGAAAACAGAACAACTTTTAACCTCCAGAGATGTCAGCGAGCACACGCCTGGTTCACCCGGCTGACGTTCCAGTAATGTAATGAAAACAAGCTCCTGGTCATCACAATTTTTCCAAACTATCATTCCCATGTGTTGCTGCGGCTGCTGCTGCTGGTGACACAGCACACAATTACACACAGACATAATAAACAATCAGCTCCACCGGCTGTCAAATGCTCTAATTTCCACTGTGTGAGGCTACAATTTACGTTGGCACTTAAATTGTTAAACTCCTGTAATGTAAAAGCTATTTATTTTCACTTTTTTTATGGACCATCTGAGGACACGGTGGCTCTTGTGCATAATAAAACCGACTTTATTACGAGAAAGTAACTTGCAAGAACCAACTTAAGAGTTTATTTAATGAAAATAATGTTATGCATTCTTTTTCTCTGAATCAGCCTGTGATTATTTATATCTCAGGTTAGTTTCTGAAGGCCTAAGGTACATTGTTTCTTTAGAAAAGGCCTTGTGTAGCGGAATTCCCTTAATTTATATCAGAAATGCAGCTTCCAAGCACCGCAAACCACACATAAACTTGAATATTAATAATCCATCTACTCAGTGAGCAACCACAATCCTGAGTGCCTGTGCTAAACTCAAATCTGTCAGTGAAACCATGCAATAAGGCTGAAATCCACTTCACATTTGTCCTCTCAGATCAAAGTGCTGAGTGTTTGCATGAGGATCAAATGGAGCAGCGAGAGGGCAACAACAGCGATAGTGTGGAGGGATTAAAACAGCCATTAATTAAATATATTCCTCCGCATACTGCTCCTGCATTTTTAAGCCGATGATGCAAGCATTAATACTTGCCACGGTTTGTCACTCTATTCATCAGCGATTCTCTTTGAGGATTATTGTCGGGGACGCCTCTGGGACGTAGCATGCACTGGGAAGACAACACATGTGGCGGGAATCCTGCTGTAGGAAAAAAAAAAAAAAAACTCCCAGGAGAAGAATGGCAGAGAAGCCAGACTGAACCGAACAATCATTTGTTACTTTTAAAACTCAACGCTGTTAAAACAGTTACACAAGCACTAATAGGTACCAAAATAACAACAAGGCAAGAAAGTTGAACATGAATTCCACAAATTTATTATCCTCCAAAAGGCCAAAACCAGAGTTCTTATAAAAGGCACTTAATTTTCCTTGACCTTTAATAAATGTATCTAAACAACAAATCCGGTAAGAGCCAAGGTGAACTTTAAATTAAATATATTTACAATAAATAAAACATTTATACAGATCTATACAGTTAATCATGCCACTTGAAGGGAGGAGAGTAGACTAATATTTCCCAAGATACCTCCCATAACAGTCTTTTTCTTTTTCTTTCTTTTTTTTTTTTGCTTTGCAACACTGGGCATGTCTACTGCACAGAACACTATGAACAGGAAAATAAGGGTAACAATACTGAACATTTCCCTTTATGCACTGAATACTGTTTATAGATAGTTTCCCATAGTGACGCCTGTACCTGTGTGTCCCTTGGCAGCAGCAGAGAAGTAACTGACAGTTCAATTCAAACACTCATCTTCTTATAAAGTCTTTTAGCAGCTCCTTACACAGGGCATAGGTGTGTATCTGTGTGTGTGTGTGTGTTCCCTCTCAGACATGTGTGGGGTTGTCTGAGTGCAGGTCAGTCTTGGCCATGTGCAGAACCACAGCAGGAGATTTGTAGTGGCAGTGCGTGCTGCCGCAGCTGACGCCGCTGCACGGTTTCCTACTACTAGTCCTGTCCGCCAGCTTCCTGCTGCACAGGCCCTGCCAGGTCTGCAGGGTCTTAGAGCTCCACACCCACACCCCGCTGGTGATGCCCACCACCAGCGACATGAAGATCTTCAGCATGAACACGGCCACTGTTGGCACCGACGTCTGCAGCGAGCAGTCGCTGCTGTGGCCGTTGAAAGATCCGCACTTCATCTGCAGCCCCCTCAGCTTCCAGTAGTCCATGTTGAGCCTCTCGTAGAAGTAGCACACTATGACGCAGGTGGCCGGCACCGTGTAGAGGATGGAGTAGATGCCGATTTTCACCATGAGCTTCTCCAGCTTCTCCGTGTTGGTGCCTTCCGTCTTCATCACTTTGCGGATGTGGAAGAGGGCCACGAAGCCCGTGAGGATGAAGGAGGTGCCGATGATCAGGTAGCAGGACAGAGGGATGAGGACGAAGCCGGTGAGCGCCCCAGAGTCCATGCTCCCTACATAGCACAGCCCCGTCAGCTCATCTCCCGCCACCTTCCTCATCGTGAGGATGATGATAGTCTTGAGAGCAGGGATGCCCCAAGCAGCCATGTGGAAGTAGTTGCTGTGGGCTTCAATAGCCTCGTGACCCCACTTCTTCCCTGCAGCCAGGAACCAGGTGAGGGTGAGGATGACCCACCAGATGGAGGAGGCCATGCCAAAGTAGTAGAGGATGAGGAAGACGATGGTGCAGCCGGTGGACTCCAGCCCCTCCTGGATGATGTACAGCTCTCCGTGCTCGCGATCGCAGGCGATGTTCTCGGCCCCGGCCACTGAGCGGATGATGAAGGCCACGGAGTAGACGTTGTAGCACATGGAGAGGAAAATGATGGGGCGCTCAGGGTACTGGAAGCGATGAGGCTCCAGGAGGAAGGTCAAGACTGTGAAGGCTGTGGAGACGAAGCACAGGATGGACCACACTGTCATCCAAATGAAGGCAAAGTCTTTGTCCTGCCTGGACCAGAAGACGTCCACGGCTGGGGAGCAGCGAGGGGCGCAGGACTGACTCTTCTCCACAAACTGGAACTTGTCCGGGTTCTCGCAGGAGCCCATGCTGCCTGGCGACCTGCCAGTGTTGGTGCCCGGCTGCCGTGGCCGAGGGGGCACCGGGAGCATGCCCTCCCCCTTCTTCCCCTCGGCCCTGGTCTCGTTCTCGGGGGCCTCCATGCACAAGGCGTTGGGGTCGTTCCTGGTGGGCAGCTTGGAGCAGTCGAGCGAGTCAGGCCAAGTGTAGCTGAACTTCTTCATGATGGGGGCACACCTCTCCCTGGCCTGCTCGCACATGGGTCTGCAGGCGGGGATGGAGGTCGACACTTTGTCCGTGCACATGGGGGCGTAGAGGGAGCAGAGGAAGAAGCGGAGGTGCACGTCGCAGCCGTAAGCGACCAGAGGGGCGAACTCGTTGAGCTTGATGGCAGCCTCCTTCTGGTCGTCGTGGTCCATGAAGTTGGGCATGCGGGTCAGGTTGTAGCCGATCCCCTCGCACATGGGGATCACGATGGGCTCGCACTTGGCCGGTCTGCCTCGCTCCAGGTCGTAGGAGCCGATCTCGAAGCTGGAGCCAGAAATAACCAGCAGACACCACAGAAAAATCACCACCTTCAACGGGCAACCGTCCATGCTCATTATTTTTCACTCAGAAGCTCTGTCTTTCAAAAATGATCATAAAAAGAGTGAGAGAGAAAAAAAAAGAAAAGAAAAACTACGGGCTCAGATACGGAGCTATTTCCCCATGCTGAAGGCGAATTTAGCACCGCTCCGTTAGGAAATGTCTCCAAAAAACACAGCTGCACACACAAAGTAAGCGAACCGATTATTCAGCCCTTGAATTAGAACGATTACTTCCACCGACGGTCGAGATAAAAGGTCCGTAACTAAAGCGTGACAGTCGGAAACTTCGATAAACAGCGGAGGGAAACCATCAAGCTGCGCGTAAATCCTCCGAGCGACGCACGGCGGATAGGAAAGGCGGCTGTCGGTGCGGTTTGTTGCGGCTCCAGATGGCTGCTTGTTGGCTGGTTTTGTCGGCTCCGGCTCTTCGTCCTCCGCTTTCAGGCTCGACACTGAAGTTTGAGAGCCGCTCAGTGGGACTTCAGTCCGGGGGAGACAGACAGGAGGAGGAGGAGGAGGAGGAGGAGGGGGGTGGGCGCTCCGTGACGCTCACATTTCAACGCGAGCACCACACAAGGAAAATTATCAGACAGATGCTGGAGGATGGTCAAATACCTCCGACATTTCTGCCCCGAATAGTACTCTCAGAGGCTTTACTTGAGTAAAAGCAGCCATGCCACGAGGTTCAAAGCTATGTTACAGTTAAAATACATGCAGTCGTGAGAAAAAAAACTGCACAAGTTTCAACAGCAAAATGAACTTTAAACATCAATAAATAGTCTTTAGGTGATGCAATATTCTATTTATTCAACTACTCTACACACATGAAGCTTTTGCATTTTTAACTTAACAGTTTAAGACAATCAAGCACATTTAACTGCACTGCACTTACTCTGTAGCTGTAAATACAAAGATTGCATCTAAAAAACACACAAATACAAGACTAAAAATGCTCTCATATCAATAATAATAATAATAATAATAATAATAACGATGGCACTCCAGGTTCCATTTCTTTGTATGTTGAATACTTTTGCTACTTTTTACATTTTCAAAGTAATATTTTGAATGCAAGTCTTGCAGCAGACTTATTAGAATCTTACTTTTTTTTCTTTTCTTTTCTTTTCTTTTCTTTTCAGAATACTCTCCATTCACATCTTTTATTTAGGAAGAAATACCACAATGTGAAAATACATTATGTATAAAGTCCTGTGCTGAAAGCTATTCTTGAGTATAAGCAGAGGCGCATTAACCTGCAAAGGGGCCCCTGGGGCTAAAATACGCTATAGGGGGCCCCAGTGAACCCCCCTCTCATTCTGCAGTCTCCAGCTTGTAAGTGAAATGCAAAATTTATTTAAAGACCTCCTCTAGTGAATATTACATTTTTTTGTAACCTTGCTAACATGCTCATGTGGTGTTTTTTAGATGCTAGAATCATAAGCAGTCAGTGCCATGGTGGAGAATTCCCACATTGAAACAGTCTCAAAGACACAGATCCAGATTTCCAGGGTTTCATACATAACTAATCTAATGAACTAATCCCGTCAACTTGCAGGCTTTGGCTTTCTGTGCCATTATTATTCTTTCAAATCAGTTTCCAGTTCAGGCATGTATGGTTGAATTGCTCCAATATTGCATGGTATTATTGTGGAGCGTAGAGTAGCTTTACAGTGTTTGAGCAGAGTTACAGGTGAACTGGTGTGCTTGAGCTGCAGAGGAAAGGGAGACGAAGAGGGACTTCATAGGTCAGCACATTCTATTGAAAGCAGCGATGGAGAGTTTCATCTAAGCCATTTTACTACAGTACGGGGTTATTTTTATGGAGAAAAAAAACTAACTCAACTGAAACTAAATATCTAACTTTGATTCACAGAGATATGGTTTTAGGGGTTTCATCTATGTTCAGAGATGGACTTTAAGAAATCAACATCATAAAAGAATAATATCAGCTTAAAGACTAACATTAAAACAAGCAAAAAGAAGAAGCTGCACTGCAGAGCAAAGGACACTAAAGACAAATGTATAGTTGGAAAAATGAACTTCTGGAGCCTTTATTGTCATTGTCTACCTGGTCCAGTTCACAATCCTGTCTTGTGTGGAACCTATAACAGCAAAAGCACTTAACTAGCAAACAATGCAGGAAGTTAACTACAGTAACTACAGAAATCAAGTTGTGTACAATTTTGAGGTTTTTATACTTTGCTTGAATATTTCCCTTTCATGCTACTTTACACCTCCACTATACTACATTCCCGAGGGACTCATTGCACTTTTTACTTCATCGCATTTATTTGTCACTTTAGTTACTTTAGGATGAGTATTTTGCATAAAATAAAACTGCACATTAAGTAGTTTAAACTAGCTCCACCTGCAACAGCTACAACAGTAACAGGCTGCTGACACACTGATGATTCACTATTAATAATCTAATGATGTCATATATCATAATACATTAGTCAGAGGGTCCAAACCAGTACTTCTGCTGTAATAATTTAACTACTTAAGCAAGAGTTTTCATTTAGGTATTAGTACTTTTACCAAAGAAAGGCATATTATACAGCAGAATGACCTTTATCGTTGTTATGTTTCAATATATGAAATCACTGAATTGTTATTGCAGGTGCACTGACACACAAACAACATTCAATGTTGTGAGTAGCATTCAATATGCACAAGAACTGTAGATGTTGGACACAATTTAGCAGATTAAAAGTATGAAGTAACATAGCTACTTGTTGCAGTACACTGCTGAGTAGCTAAATTTACTGTATTACGGACTCGTATTGCGTATAGGATAAAATCTTAATCTGCAACATAACCACAGCTGTCAAATCAATGTAGTAAGAAGTTCAATATTCCCCTCTGCAATTCAATGGAGGAATATAAAATGGGGAAAAAAAGCTGAAGCACAAGAAAAGCAAATGGTAAATGGTTTTTAGTTTATACTATTTAGTTACTTTGCACCACTGGTGGGTGGCAGTGTCAGGAGAAACACCTTACAGCCAGGCAACACAATGAGTCATATTAATAACATTCACCAAATGGAGCTGACATGATTATTATCCTTTATTAAGTAATTACAAGAACTACACAAAAATTAAAAAAGGTGAGGCCCAAACTTTCCCCTCTGGATCCCTAATAAGAAATCTGCCACTACTGCTCTGAGTCAAACACTGAGTAGTTTATTTTTCTCCAGTGTGGTTGTAGAAAATAACCCGTTCTTCTGGTAAAATGATAGTCCCCATGGCGTTTCACTGTTGCTGACTCAAAATTACTCTGTCACCATTTCTGCTAATGTTTTCATGCAATATAATGTGAAACTTTATGGAGCCCTGCAGGTCAGCTCCCCGAAAAAACGAAGCAGCCCTGCAGCTGGTAGGGATTCCACTGCCCCGCTAAAGGAAACTGCAGAAGGAACAAGTGCTTGAGGACGGAGCAGTTGAAGGACAGTCGCTCTAGAAACACAAAGACGCACGCACACGCAGAATCCATAAACAGATTTGACGATTTGATTGGCATGATAAGCAGCGTGGTGCATAGAATCAGACACAACATGCAACACATGAATGCAGCGGTGCTTGTGCAGAGCAGACTATTGTTTCCATCTAGTGGCTGAATGGGAAGAGTCTGCAGCTCCACAGCTGTTGCACTGAGCATTTGATCTTTTCTCAAACAGGGGTGGAACTCGAGGATTTTGGCCTCTCGCCCTGCAGGACTGAACTGGTTGTCAACTGCATACTGTCTCTATTAGCCCCATGTTAAAGGTCTGTCTGCTGGAGGTAGTTTTGCACTTGTCTGACCTGAGATTGACCTGTTGTTTGTAACATGTAGATCAATGCTGACAGTGTAATGAATATGTTGAGAAATAAGCAAGATGCCATGGCCTCTTGAATGTGGAAATAAATTTTGGCAATGTGCGTATTTGCTTTCTTGCAGTCAGTAACACAAGAATACTGACACCACTCTTATATCTACCATTAAATACTCATTGCCTAAAAAAAGTCTTGGAAGTTTGCCTGTTTTATTGCTTTTCAACATTGAATCATGGTCAATTTATATTTCATTTTTCGACAAGAATCTATAAAAGAATATTCTTTCACTTCAAACAGCAGATGTTCACAAGTAATTTAAATTTAGTGAAAGCACCTTATCCACCACAGGTGCAGCCAATTGGTGCTAGTAGTCACACAATTGAGAACAAGTGAATGTAGTAGTATAAAGACATCTGTGTTTGGAAGGTCCAGTCGATGGAAAATCAGTACTTCTGGCTACAACAACACCATGAAGACAAACGCTTCAAGTAATTCCAAGTAAAAAGTTATTAAAATGTACAAGTCAGAGGATAGATACAAGAAGATTTCCAAGTCACTGAATATCCTTTGGAGCAAAGTTAAATCCATCAGTAAGAAACAGATGGAATACTGCACACGTGCAAATCTACCTGAAGCAGGCTGTCCTCAAAAGAAACTAGTGAGGGGAGGCCACCAAGACACTCTGAAGGAATAACAAGCATCAGCAGCTGAGATGGGAGAGATTGTACATACAACTGTTGCCTGTTCTTCAACAGTCAAAGCTTTATGGGAGAGTGGCAAAGAGAAAGCCACTGTTGAAATGAGCTATATTAAATCTCGACTAGTTCGCCAGAAGGCATGTGGGAGATTTTCAAGTCAAGTGGTCAAAGTTCTTTGGTCAAAGGAGACCAAAACTAACCGTCTTCTCCATTAAACTAGATGCTATGTTTGGCTGATACCAAACACAGCACACCGTCACAAACAAACCATCCCGACTGGGGCGCATGGTGGTGGTAGCACCACCATGCGTGAATGCTTCTCTGCCCTGGAAGACTTATAAAGCTAGAGGGTAAAATGAATGCAACAATGCATATAGAAATGTCAGAGGTCAACCTGACACAGTCTGCAGGAGAACTGTGACTTGGAGATTAGTTTTGCAGTGAAACAATGACACGAAGCATACAGCCATAGCTACACAGAAATGGTTTAAAGACAAACAAGGATAATGTTCTGGAGGGGCCAAGTCAGAGCCCAGACCACAATCCAATAGAGAATTTGTGGCTGGATTTGAAAACGGCTGTTCACTACTGTTTAAAGGCTTTCCTTTGTCATTTTATTTTATTTTTTTTGTAAATTCTTGTCTTAAAAGCCAAATTAAATTGACCATAAGTTGATGTTGAAAAACAGTAAAGGGGGCAAACTTCTAAGGGGTGTGAATACTTTTATAGGGGCTGTTACTATTTTCCTTTTTTTCCAGTCCTCTGCTAAGCCAAGACAACCACCTGTTATGTCATTAATATATAGCTACAGCTATGAGATGGGCATCAGCACTGTCTCAGCAGGAAGGCAAATTTTCCCCAAACTGTGAAGTACTGCTATAAGATAACTGCATGTCCCAATATTTTCATCTTGTCCAATCAAGTGTGAAAATACTGCA